TTCCCATCACTGCATCAGACAGCGGAATTACCACAGTCCCGATGCCTATTCTCCAAGCTATGTTTGAAAAAGCAAACCAACTTTTACGAAAACGTGACGTCATCCCGAAGCCAGGAGCAACTGATGGATCATTTATTGTCGCTGGCAACAGTAACACCATTCACGTCGTTACACTTGGAAAGGGCGGATGTCTGAAATGCGATAGAAACTGTGTGAATAATTCGACAAGAATATGCGAACACGTCTTGGCTGTTGCACAAGTGCGTGAAAAATTGAGCGAGTTTTTAGCATGGTACCGCAGATCTAAAAAAGGACCAAAAGTTCTTGAAATGGCACTTGGTAGTGCTCCGAAGAATGCAGGACGAAAGCCGAGCACACGGAAAAAGTCGAATAAGAAGAAGCCTTCTGTAACTCAAGTGGTTGACCTGCTTGAAGATCTTATTGCCGAACCAGTTCCAACTCCTAACCAAATACCTCCGGCAGCTCCTCAGGCATCACAAGCTCCTCACCGTGTTGGCCCAGTGTTTCAACCACCTCCCGTGGTGTCTGGTAGTGGAGGCCCTCAAGCTCCTCAGTTCAATCCAACAATTCCACCTCCCATGGTGTGTGGATTCCCTCAGACTCCTCCGCAGCAACTAGCATATCATTTACCTCCCGTATTTTCAGGATCCCCTCATGATCATGCTCCTCAACAATACCTAGCACCCCAAATGCCTGCCATAAGCCCACAAAACCACTCATCATTCCGGCTCAAATGGGTTATGGGAACATCGGTAACTCGCTGTTATGGGTGCGGAGGAGAAATCCAAAATCCTCCACAAACTGTCCCAGATGATTTGATTGTTGTGTATAGGGACATACGCAAATACCGTGATCGAGACACCGGGCAACTTCAATATTCCAGAGGACCAGTGAACATTCATTTTCATCTGAGATCTGCTTGTATCAGAATTAGATACCCACACTTTACCGGCAATGCTCTTGTAATTTCCCAAGATTTCTCACGTTATTTTCAATCAGGACATATCGAAAGACTTGCTAATGAATTTGGGCTCAATCGTTAAGTGCCGTCAATATATAACTGAACAGTGAATCATATGCGTACGCCTATGCGTGGAAACTACAAGGAAATTATAAGTATACAGCATATGAACACAAACATTTGTATCGATTAACTCTTCCTATATTAAGACATTGCAGAAAATTTTATTTTATAATAGTTTTGTTAAAGTTGGTTGTGTTACTTATATGAACTGAAGAATTGTAAAAGATTATGCCATTGCAACATTACAGCTCTTATATTTGTTGGAAAACAATTTAAAGGGACTGGTAATAAAGTGCGGCCGGGGGAGGGAGACTGTACAAGAAGGTACCACCATAGTTGGTGCCGAACACGGAGATTTTAAAAGATTCAAGTCTCAGATAGTTGGAATATAGCACTAATTAACAGTCTCCTGTGCTTTTTTATGACCCAATGAGTAGAAAACGTTGTTATACCCATCTAAGCAGATTTTACTGTGACCTACCCTTCAATGTGTGTTAAATATTGAATGGCTGATGGTTTTAGCAAATATTTAATGCGTGACCTGTCTCCATTCTTTCCGGCTGCCTCTTCCCCACTTCATGACCGGTCCCCAACTGCATGACTTATGTACTATTGAATAATACGAATAATACATAGTACATAATACAAAGATATGTGATATTACAGTATTGACATTTTGAATAATAATGCTTACTTTTGGTTTGAAAAAGTCTCTGCTAGAGTAAGTATATTTTGCTGAAAAATGTTGCCGGCTAATAGCATGTTTTATATAGATAAAATGTTTAGTAATCGGTTGTTACTAATGTTTTGAAGTGTTATCCAGAGGTGTTTGCCGCAAGGCTAGGATTAAAGTAATAACTATATTGACAAGTTGCAGTGTCACATTACAGTGTCTGTATTCAGACAAAAGACGCCGAAAGTATAGCAGTTTCCGTACGGAGAATCAGCAAACCATCAATTGCAATGCGCGCAGTGTAATTTGTCTGTGTACTGTATATAGTCTGCAGTCTGAAGAAATTTACGCGCGTGAATTTAAAAAATTCGTAGACTGCTTAAAGATTCCGTGCTACTCTTAATACAAGTCAAGAGGATTAAAATCAGTCTCAGAGTCGCGATATTCCCCCTTTTAAATATCTTTAAAAGGGGGAATATTCCAATATTCCCCCTTTGGAATATTCCCCCTTTTAAAGATCTTTAAAAGGGGGAATATTAAATATTCCCCCTTTTAAAGAATATGAAATATTCCCCCTTTTAAAGATCTTTAAAATTCCCCCTTTTAAAGATCTTTAAAAGGGGGAATATGATATTCCCCGATTCCCCCATTCCCCCTTTTAAAGATAGCCGAGACAGAAATGTATATCGGAACTGTAACCAAGAAGAAAAATTCGAAGAATGAATGGAATGTCGTCGTTAAAGTGGGCAAAAAAGATATAGCGTTGAAACTTGACACTGGGGCTCAATGCAATGTTATGCCCTATGTTTTAATGTTTTAATAAGATTCGGCAACTACCTAAAAATACAACAATGTAGTGCCAGGGAGTTCGCCACAGGTTCCCCCAATTACGGCGATCCCTTTATATTTACATAAAAATTACGTTCAAATAATTGATTAACGAAACAGACAAAGTAGAACAACACAATTACAAAACGGCTAAACTGACAACTAACAACGGTTTAATTTCAGTCCTGATTTAAAAGCATAAAAACCAATGTTTCTGTTTCGAAGGTTATCACTTAGGATGTTCCAGGTTTTACAAGCTCTAATAAAATACGAGGACTGGAACGTTACAGTTTTGGCATAAGGTATTAAGAATTTAATTCGACTGTCATTAGATTCACTTCTAGTGATTCCTGATCCTGATATAACCGGTCGAGCACTGTCGTCAATATATGTATGTTAATGATTTTATAGAGTAGGAATATATCCAGGTATTCGTGCCAGTAAGTTATGGGTAGTAGATCTAGGTTATGTAGTCTTGTTGGATACGGTATGTAAATTGGTGACAAACCCAAGATTAAGAATAAATTTGGTTGCTCTTCTCTGCACCTTCTTGATATTTTCAATTAATTGTATGGACTGTGGACACCATACTTGGGATGCGTACGCAAGATTGCTTCGAACGAGCTGTAAGTACAGATACTTTCTCGCCTTGATGTCAGTCATTTCCAAGGTAGATCGCCTAATTAATCCAAGCAATTTGTTAGCTTTGGACTTCACCTTGCTCACGTGATGGATCCAAGTTAATTTGGCCTTATTTGGGACAGATAGTTATACCCAGGTCAACTTCAGCATCAGAAAAGGACAACAGGTCACCGGCAAGACTGTATGGAGAAACCAAAGGTGATGTTTTTCTGGTTATAGAGAGTACCTTGCACTTGGATTGATTGAAATGAAGGTGGTTTTCATTTGACCAACATCGAAGACCTTGAATAACCTCTTGCAAGACCAAGGCATCAGAAGGATTCTTTATGCAACGATACAGCTTGGTGTCGTCAGCAAACATGAAACATATAAGCGAATGACTAAAGAGAAACCTGTCAAGTCAAAGACAAAACTTGTCTTATACTCGGGACACAGCATCAAGGTGATTGGGAAAAACACCGTGCCGCTTGAACACAAAGGGAAGTTCTATCCTGTGGAATTGCCGAGAAGAGTGATGTTGTTCCCGTTCTCGGTTTACAGACATGCCTTGAATTTAATCTTATTAAACGAGTATTCACTGTAAACGATACATCATCTGATGAGACAGGTACTTCAAAACTGTCAACACAGCAGACCAGTGAAGAAATAATTAAAGAATACAATGATGTTTTCAGGGATTAGGGTGCCTGGAAGGCGAATATCACATCAAAACGAATCCAAACGTTACGCCAGTTGTCCACGCGCCAAGGAAAGTTCCGTATGCGCTCCGTGATAAACTGAAAACTGAACTCGATCGAATGGAAAATCTCGGGGTGATTGAAAAGGTTGTTGAACCGACAGAATGGGTCAATTCATTGGTTGTGGTTGAGAAGAACAATGGGAAAGTACGAGTGTGCCTCGATCCAAGACTGGCAAGAGATTTAAACAAAGCTGTTCTGAGAGAACACTATCCCATGAAGACAATCGAGGAAGTTGCTGCAGAGTTGAATGGAGCGAAGGTGTTTAGCACAATTGACGCATCGTCAGGATTCTGGCAGGTTAAATTAGATGCAGAAAGTTCAAAACTTTCAACTCACCATTTGGAAGATATAAGTTTTTAAGACTTCCGTTTGGTATTAATTCGGCTCCAGAGGTCTTCCAACGGCGAATGACGCAAGCATTAGACGACATCGAGGGAGTGGCTGTTATTGTGGACGACATCTTGGTGTGGGGTACAACAGTTGAAGAACACAACAGAAGGTTACAAAACCCACTCCAACGAGCACGTGAACTAAACCTCAAGCTCAACAAAGAGAAATCAAAGATTCAGACGAGTGAACTATCGTATATTGGACATCTCTTAACCCGTGATGGCGTTAAACCGGATCCACAGAAAGTTAACGCCATTAAAGAGATCAATACACGTGAAGACAAGAAAGAACTGCAGAGGATTATGGGGATGGTAAATTACCTGGCAAAATTCATCCCAAACCTTTCAAACGTCACTGTTCCATTAAGTGAACTGTTGAAAAAGGACACTGCGTGGCATTGGGAAGAAATACACCAAAAAGCCTTTGAAGAAATCAAGAGTAGAGTCACGGCAGAGAAGTTACTGCAGTACTATGATGTGTCAAAACCAGTGGTGCCATCCGTAGACTCCTCATCTTATGGCCTAGGGGCATGCCTTCTCCAAGAAGAACGACCGGTATCGTATGCATCGCGATCTTTAAACAGTGCCGAGAAAAACTATGCTCAGATTGAAAAGGAACTTCTGGCAATACTTTTCGGATGCACCAAATATCATCAATATATATACTCAAAGCCTGTTACCGTGGAAACAGACCACAAGCCCTTAGAGTACCTATTCAAAAAGCCGCTAACAGCTGCACCGCCGAGACTACAACGAATGATGCTGAGTTTACAGAAGTACGACCTCACCGTTCAGTACAAACCCGGAAAAAGTTTGTATATCGCTGATACACTTAGTCGAGCACCATCGCCAGCTGTTGGTGAATCTAGTCAAGATCAGTATATGGTACATACGATAGAAAATCTCCCGATCAGCAACGAGAAAATACAAGAATTTCAGCGAGCAACCAACAACGATCTCACGGTACAAACCCTGCAACACACCATACAGGAAGGATGGCCTAAACACAAATCAAGTGTTGACCAAAGTATCAGAGAATACTGGCCAATTCGTGACGAAATTAACTCCCAAAACGGTCTACTGCTTCGTGGGGAAAGACTTATCAAATACATATACAGCAACAAGAACAGCCTGCTGCCGCTGACCAACCGAGAAACGAGATCGATTATGACACAGAACAACATGACAAGGCAGCAACGATTGACCCAACAAAAACAGTTACCCGTTCAGGAAGAACCGTCAAGATGCCAGAACGATATGGATTCGAAGGGTAGCAATAACAAACAGTTAATAACTGGATTTATAACTATACATTGAATTTTTCATATACTTGTTTTGTTACTTTGTTTTGTTGAAAGGGAGATGTCATGATTATTAGATCATGTATAATATTGCATGTCCGGAATATACACTTGACGCATACCGCGCACTGGGACTGATGACGATATAGTGCGTAATAGTAGATACTTAGAACGGTACTGAATTGATACTGATTGTAGGTTATAGGTCTGACGAATAAAACTTTTATTACCAACATAACACTATACACACGTAAAAACGCACAAGTTGTAACAAGTCTGCAAACAAGTTGTTACACGTCTGTTCACAAGCTGTCAACAAGTTGTGCTCGCACTGCTTGTTCCCTGTTTGTTGGAACAAGTTTGAAACAAGCTGTTAACAACTTGGAACAACCTTGATGGCATTATCAGCCTTGTTACAAGATTGTGTTAACAAATTTGTTACAGCCATGATATAACAAGGATGTTACAAGGTTGTCAACACAAGGCTGTAACAATCTTGTTATATCAAGCATGTCACAGACTTGTCAGAACAACTTTGCAACAAGTCTGATAATTCGACAAGGTTGTTACAAGTTGTCAACAAGTTGTTCCAAACCTGTTGGCAATTTGTGACAAGCAGTGCGAATACATCTTGTTAACAGCTTGTGAACAGACTTGTGCGTTTTTACGTGTGTAGGTCAAAGTACTCCCAATGGCATGGTTTGCACGTGCATCGGGCTATATATGGCCGAGCATACACGTGGTGCGCACGTGCGAGTAAAATTTGAAAGATTCAAAATAAATATTTCTACTCGCCGTATTCAAACGAAACTTTCTACACGAAAGCGCTTTAATACAAGGAGTATTTTACTCACATTGACCCTGAGCAAATTCTGAAAAGTCTAGAAGATATTCAAGTTTTCTTCTCGTAAATATACGATTGTTATGGTTTGTGTAATGTTTTGAAGGCATCTGAACCCCCCGTTGAAAAGGTTATTTTGTCAGGATTACAATGGTGCTTTTCGTTTTGAAGGGGGAATACTCGCTGAGATATCTACAATTAGAAACAATAAAAATCGTAAAAATGTAAACATTTTAAATTGGGGTGACGAGAAATTAACCCGTTTACTGGCACTGACGAGTAAAATTGTCTGGCGTTGATAGCAGGGCCGTAGCAACCGGGGGGTCTGGAGGCTTCAACGCCCCCCTCAATAATTTGTTAACTAGCGATAATCTGTGAAGTTTGAGAGGGATATAATTACCTAATAATCGACCCTGACTAATCAGCTCCCCCAATACAAAATTGCTTCCTATGGTAGTGGATCGACAGTAAATAATAAAGTAGGGCGCATTGCCAGCCAATGGGGGTTAAAGACATTAGCAGATAGGTTTGTCAACCCATTTTATTTTAATACTGATAGTACTCTACCACTGAGAAGTAAAATCGTCTGGCGTTACAGAGTGTAAATTTGTCTGGCGTTAGACAGGGTTAATACTAAAGTGGGATGCATTGTCAGCTAATGGGTGTATATAATATGCCGTTTATCCACTTTTGACCCAATGGCAACATTTTCATGTTGGTTATTTACTCATGTTCCGTGCACACAATTTAAGAATACGTTCATTGGGTCAAAAGTAAACTTCCCTTTAGAGAGGTTTAGCATTCAGTTCATGTGGCAAAAAGGCGGCACTTTCCTTGCGATAGTAACTCCTAGTATAACACACATAATTAGTCTGAGCCCATATGATATCAATTGAACTAATTGATTTTATATGTACATGATTTAATAGCCATATTATTTATAGCCAAAGAAAAACAAAGTTTCCATACCGTAATCGTCCTCACTAGACGAACTGTTCATTGTTGAGATGTCACACTTGGCCTAGTTGTTAAATAAAACAAAAGAATAAAACGTGACCCTATAAATATAAAACAATATTTCTTCAAAGCTAATCAACTAATTTGTAGCAAGGTTTTTTAACGAGGAAATAAATTACGTTAAACAAAACGATTAAATAAATTAGCGTTAAATGTGGGCAGAAAAGAATTTGAGAAGTCAAATTTGCAGCGACAAAAGGGCGGGAATATGTTAACAACCTAAATTCCCACCGCCATGACCAGTAGAAGCCCTTACGTCATTGTCACTGTCACATTGATTGCGAATACCTAATGTTTTGGTGCATTGAAAATTGCGCGACGTACGCACTTCTAAGGATTAAATAACGGCAAGACATGTACATTGAATATAATAGTCATCATGCATGGTTATGTACTGACTGAGCGCCAAAAATTATGGTGTGATAATACACGAGGAATGTTGGGAGAATACGAGAGAAGCTGTGGAAAATGTTGGCCCCACCTGGATTTTTGCTGCCCCCCCTTGACCAAAAATCCTGACTACGCCTCTGTTTCCCAACATTCCTTGAGAACTGACAAGCTTGTTGCCAAGCGACAAAAAGCATGCTGAACACTTGAAATATAAACCAACGAAATTGATGTGGAAAACCGTTTGCGAAAAGTTTGAAGTTGATGGTTACTTGCAAACGGTAGTAAATTTCACACGTCAAGTAAGATTATTTTCGGGTTGGCCCCGTAATTTTAAAAATGGGTGTAAGTGATATGCCTTGAGCGAAAACAGACCTACTACCTAGGACCTTTACTCGGCTTGGTTTGGTCATGGATTGTAAAATAACTGTATAGGAAACTTCCTGACGTCACAGTCTAAACCTACAATCGCGTGCAAAAATAATGAGACTTTTCACATTTTTGGCCATTTTAAAGTACGTCGGTCTCCCCCCTGCCCCCATGATCAATGTTGGAAAAAGTGGGTTGAATTTTCTCTTTTCAGTCATCCACACAACATTGAATTGGGGGTGAGGGGGGCATTTATGCGGTTGTCTCAATAATTTTTGCTCCTGATTGTCTCTATTTGTACTTTTGAATAAAACGCAATTCGTTCATGTTGATTCAACCGTAGTGCTCCGGGGAAGACGCTGACTTGGATTTCTTACTTAATGAACCTTTTGCTATATAATATCTTTTCTCAGCGGTTTTCTATAACTGAGTACTTCATGTAAAAAGAATATAGGGGATCTTGAGAACTATAGTTATTTTTGGTTAGGAAAGGACGATTAATTGATGAATATACACATTGGAAGAAGATTATAAAATAATGAGTAAAATTCAGACTATTTTTTCCCATGGCTGACAATCATGAGCATATATTTTTCTCTCAAACAGAATATTTTCTTTAAGTTCAAGTATTTTATAACAGACAACGCATCGTTCTGACCTACTTGTATACAATTTTGGAAAAATTCAATGATTCTATTTTCCTACTTTTAGCTGAATTGTTACGTAAGATTGACATACTCACTAGATTTTAAACCCAATTCAAGCATTTTATTTATGTTGATATACGGACTTACCGATCGTAAACTTGCACTAGAATTTATTGCAAACTTCCATCTCCTATGATTTTGGGATTATGTGAGATGAGCTCAAGCAAATCTGGTCGCACATGCGCAAAATATCAATCCATTTTTACGTACTGATTAGACACGTTACACACACGTTACACCACACGTTACACCACACGTTACATAAAAATCTGTAGTAAAACATATAGAGATACGACACGTTACACACGTTACACCAATTGTTATTAAAAATAAATATATATATTTATTTTTAAAAACAATTGGTGTAACGTGTCATATTTCTATATATTTTACTATAGATTATTATGTAAAGTAGGTGTAACGTGTAGTGTAACGTGTGACGTGTGTAACGTGTGTGTAACGTGTCAGCGTTTGCTTAATGAAGCCAAGTGCATAAAATTTACATGAACTAATCACTTTAGATTAGTTGGTGAACATCCCACAAGCACAACAGCACATACTGCGGTATAAATGACAAAGTTTTCTCATTTTTCGTCATATGGCTAGGCTGAGGAACTCTCATATGATTCCCTCCTGAGGAAATGATGGCTAATTGAGCTTGAAAGGACGTAAGAGTAGTTAAAACAATACATTAGATTTTTATGGCTTATTGGATGAGTTGTAACTATATCGCAAAGTATTTTAATAGATCGTGTTTAGCTTACAACTTGCCTATTTTCCCAAAGTTTCCCCCCCCCCCGCCTTGCAGAATTTCTATATTTTGGGGGACAAAAAACTTTCGGTTAATTGATTGAAATATGTCAATTTCATGTCAACTTGATCGCTAGATTTTGGCAAAATTTCAAATTTTGGACAGCTAACCCCCAGACAGCTCCATCTCAGACAATCGCGTGCAAAAATAATGAGACTTTTCACATTTTTGGCCATTTTAAAGTACGTCGGCCTCCCCCCTGCCCCCATGATCAATGTTGGAAAAAGTGGGTTGAATTTTCTCTTTTCAGTCATCCACACAACATTGAATTGGGGGTGAGGGGGGCATTTATGCGGTTGTCTCAATAATTTTTGCTCCTGATTGTAGTTGCAATCTGTGACATCACGCGCATTGCCAAAGTTCTCAGCATTTTTGTTGTTTCGCTATATTTTCCGCTTTAAAAGAGTAATATTGAAGCAAAAACTGGTCTAATTGTTTTAAAAACATGCCCAAGCCACGACAAAGTATTCAAGGTAAATGTTTTTCGTCTTTGTTTTTTTTTTTACATTTATAGCTACGAAATTGGCGTCGCCAATTTATTTTAACGAAATTTGCGGTGCATTTTTCACTGTTTAGTACTTGAAATATTTGCTAAAATTGACTGGGAATACTTAGAGATTTCATCGTAGAATGGCGTAGTTATATTTATTTGCTCTTTGACTAAAATGTTTAGCTGTATTATTGCTAAACTCGCCGTTTTTGAGAATTTGGTTTGCAACTAGGTTTGAACATCCAACCACGCCATCAGCCCATTGAAAACATTAGGTCACGTCAGCTAGTTTCCTATCCATTTATTTTATTATATTACTTCACATGCAAAACGAGAGCAAATAGCCTGGGTCCCAGTCTTCTCATGTGAAAAAGCGCTGACTTTATAGAACCTTCCGGAAAGTATATCACTTTGGTTATAGAGCCTCGTGATTGCGGGTAAAATTGTCTGGGGTTAATAAACAGAATAAAATAGGGCACATAATTAGAGCGCGCAACGCAATTACTTAATGGGTTAAAGAAAATATTTGTTTAAGCTGTTTCCACTGAAAAGTGACATGTCTAAAATTCTTATTTGGGAAAACGGGAAAAATGCTTGCCATGGTAATTGCACCACGTTAAAGGTAAAGATGCATCATGCATATTTGCTCACTTTTGCCTTAAATGACTACATTTTTACATCTTGTGGAGTGTTGACACTTCACATTTACATTGTTATAAAATATTGTCTACAATCTATGCATGTTTGTATTACTGTGTATCTATTTAAAAAGCCCATTCAAACGGGCCCAACAAATAACAATCCAGGGTGGAAAATTTGTAGGTTGTTTATTTGCTTAGATAAACGCCTGCTGTGCAAGCTAGTATTTCCAAACATTCCATTCTGCTTTCTTCAAAATGGCTGAAATGCATTGGAAGAAGCTTTGTCTGATATTTAAAGTCGTTTACGCTTCAAAATTCAGTTAAAATCAAAACAGAGAAAGTCAATTGTCCATTCACTGCAAGGCGAAGACGTTCTCACCGCCATTGCGGCAGGTGTTTATTTTTCGCAGCGTGCAAGGGACCTTTTTGGATCTTCTAAAGCCCCCCAACCACCACCCCCCAAACCCCCCGCTCCGCGGTCCCTGGTGTGACTATATTTTTCCAGCGGTTACAGACCTGCCAAGGTTCCCGCACTTCGCGTGAAAGTTACGCATTCTGCTTTTGTTCCTGCTGTCCCGCACGCATAACTAAAATGAAGTTACGTATTTTTACCATTATATGACGCTATCCTACTTTTCATGGCATGCAACAATAATAATAGTACAATAACTCATTGACGCTGTGTGCAAAAGTTTTGAAGGCGTCTAAATCGTAAAACAGGGTTCGTAGTCTCCAAGACCAAAAAAATTCAAAGACTTTCAAAGATTTTTGCTGCCTATTTTCAAAGACTTTTCAAAGACCTTTGAGAGCAATCAGCTGTCGAAAAATTGCAAGTGAAAGCAACATTTTTACCCAATAATTAGTCCCGTCAAATCACATCCTAAAATGCGCCTTTTCGTCGATATTTGCGAAAATCTTGCTTCAATCAATCTATTTTATTAGCTAGGAAATCGTATAATCAAATACTCACTAAAGAATTTAAAGACTTTTAAAGACTTTCTTCGCTTTTTCACACAATTCAAAGACCTTAAAGATCTGCATTCAAATTTAAAGACTTTCAAGGATTTCAAAAACCGCTACGAACCCTGTAAAACCAAATTTCACCATTTGCTATTGATATGCCAATATCAGAGTTGCCAACTGCCAAGTGCCACACATTTAGCCTGAAAGTCACGCTTTTAAATTCTGGTTCCGCAGATCCGCACCACTGAGCTATAATATTATTATTATTATTAAAACTTTATTTAGGCACGGTATTACTCATCAGGATTTACATTATATGGGCTACATTAACTAACTATATTACAAAAACTACGGTGGTTACAAAGTTATCTCTATACCTGCTTTCCATGAGGGCCGTGTATTAAAAATATAGCCATTAAAATTTATAAAAGACTTCTACAGCCCGCTCGAAAATTGTCAAGGGACTGTGCTTGCCGTAACCCGATTGGAAGACTGTTCCACAGCACAGCGCCACTATAACTAAAGCTGTTTTTCAAATAGTTTGTGCGAGGCATAGGAACAGCTAATTTATTCTCAGTGTCACGCAATTGGATTGAAGTTACACTTTCACGATCAGTAAACATGGAGTGCATATAGTCGGGAGCTAAACCATTAAGAGGATTTATAGACCATTACAGCCTTTTGAACTTTACGCTGAAAGGAAAGTGTTTTCCAATTGAGCTTTTCAAAGAGTGAATCGGCACTAGTGTCATAGCTAGAGAATGTTAAAACCCTGGCTGCACGATTTTGTAATTTTTGGAGCTTTTCAGCATAAGTTTTATTACAGTTATCCCAAACTGAACAACAGTAGCTGAAATGAGGCTGAACTAGAGCGTTGTAAACAAGTTTCAACGTTGTAGCAGGAATAAAAGAACGTACACGTTTCAAAGCACCAATACCAGAAGCAATCTTTTTTATTAAATCATTGATATGGGCATTCCAAGACAGGTTTTCATCAAGCTTCATCCCAAGGGACTCCGTTTGAGAAACTTGGCGAACAGGATGTCTATTGATTGCTAAGGAAGGGGCCGAGTGTAACGTGCTTAATTTTTGTCTTGACCCAATTAGCATGAACTCTGTTTTAGATT